TATGTGTGTGTGTGTGGTTGCATGATAGTACAAAGAGGGAAGGTAGGGAAGGTGGTAAATGGTAAATGGACTGTATTTATATAGCGCATTTTCCACAGTGTGTTGCACTGGCCAAAGCACTTTACAGGAGATCATACACCATTCACCCATTCACACACCGATGACGACAAGGCTGCCACACAACGGCGTTAGTCAAGCCACCGGGAGCAATTCGGGGTTCAGTGTCTTGCTCAGGGACACTTAGGCATACGGGGAGACCGGGAGTCGAATCACCAACTTCCTGGTCAGAAGACGACTTGCCCTACCTCGTGAGCCACAGCCACCCCCGTAAAGACGGTTAAAAGATGGATTAAAACTAACAGGGGGCTACGGTTATTGCAGGCCGCATACCAGTACCTTGGTATCCCACAGTTACGTGGGAACCACGATGAGGAGGCAAGAAAGACAGTAATGTCCAAGTACCACCAAAGGTTAAGATAGGTCCTGAAAAGCCAGCTCAATGGGAGCAACAAGAACCAGGCCATCAACACATAGACCCTGCCAGTCCTCAGATACCCTGCCAGCATAGTGAGCTAACCAAAGGAGGGCATGCATGCTGCCAAGTTGAAGACCTGGAATGTCCTTATAATGTATGGAGGCTTCCACCTGAAGTTTAACACCAAGAGACACCAGCCAGAAAGAGAGTGGATGGGGCCTGGTGAGTGACAAGGCCATTGTCCTGGATGAAACCCAGAGCATCCAGGAGAACATCAGCAAGATGGCACCCAGAGACGAGCTACTGAGATAATGTCTGAAACAGCAACAGTCAGGGACCAAAGAACAACCAGAAGAACTGCATGGGATGTACCACCCAAAGAGAACTTAGGTGGTTGACATTAGGAAAGCCTACCAGTGGCTGCGCCATCTTTCCTCAGGTGGTGTTAGGAGTGGAAGATGAGTGTTCCCTTGCAGGTACCCTTTGCTCTCTTGTGCTCTATTTTTCCCCCTCCTCTCTGATTCTCTGCTTTACTGTCAGCAGAGCAGCAGTATAACTGTCCTCAAAGTGCGTATTGATCCCAGGAAGCGGATAGAAAATGGATATTTTCTTTTCAGTGCCACCAACCCCCTCCTCCTCACTGCTGCAACCCAGATGCTGTTCCTTCTGCACATTGTGGTGCAATAGTAAATCTAAACCTAGTGTATGAGACTTAATTCATCAGTTTATGGGTCCTGAACAGGCCTGGCATAACATGTCCCTTAATTTTTAATAATACTGCCATCTGTAAATTTTGTGCACATCTGCACTAATTTGTCTAGACTATCACAAATTTTTAAAAGGATTATGATCATAATAAGAGCTTGCAATGCATATTTGTCTCTCTGGACATACTTTAAGTCACCGGTGTATTGATTCTTTCACCTGCCATCTTGTTTAATAATATTACCATGTTTAGTTGTGGTGATTCCTTATTGGAAGCTTTTTGTCTTATTGTCATATATATCATAGCTTCAACATTCTAATTAGCCTGAAAGACATCAAGGGTAATATCATTTCTGATAAAATGCTAATAATGAGTCAGTAGAGCTTCATCATCAGTTCCTGTATGGGATTTGATTCTGGGCCTTTGTTGTCCTGGTAAAGGTTTGACAAGAAATCTCTTGGCTGGAGTTGAGGCCAGATCAAATACTCAGTCTCACAGTGGACCTCAGCTTTTCTGCATAACTTTCCACACTAAGCCTAAAGCAGAATTCATGCTTTGCACATACCCTCCAGCATATGAGGACACCAACGAGGAGTGCACACATGTTCCTATTCAAATCGAGTGTCTGCCTTCTGTCCGTGTATGCTGATGGTTTCCAAGTTGGGGCTTTTGCTGTGCGGATTGTCTGCACAGACACATACTTTTGGCCTCCACATGGACATCTGCACACAGCCCGGCAGACCCTTGAGGACCTACGAAGATGATGACAACTACGTCAACTTTAGCAGACACGCAAAACATGACTAGCCTCTAACCCTGCCAACCCTTCTCCTTCTGCTGCTCGTTTTCTCCATTACTCTTTTTTAAAACATTTTTTCCTCATCTGACACAGAAGAGTGATTTTAAATATATATGTATTTGTCCACTCTTCTATTATATAAAATGTGGTGTTATGAATTGCTGGCAAATGTGAAAAGTCAAACTGCATTTAGTGAGTAGTGCTACAAGTATTTTTTAAATCCTCCTTCTTTCTATTCTCTGTTTCTGTCTAATTCCAGAGAGGCCTGTGTTCACGAGACAGCCAGTGAACCAGGTGGTGTTGGCAGATGACACGGTAGACTTCTTCTGCGAGGTACACGGAGACCCAACTCCAACTGTACGCTGGCGGAGAGAGGAGGGAGAGTTGCCCCGGGGCAGGTACGATGGGACAAACACTCATGTACTGTACTATGTCACCACACCGATTATATATGTTGGGTGCTATTTGCTCCTTATATTACACTTCCAGTAACAAGTAGTGTAGTTATTATTTTGCTTATGATGTGGTACTGTTTCTAATAAGAGGGCACTGTCTGCTAGTGTGGATGTTTTTCCATTACTTTGAATTTAGAAGTCAAAATTACAAAATAATCAGAATTTTGGGAAGATAGGAAATATTATTATCACCACTTTTAGGTGTGCAGTGAACACAAAATGAAACAAATCACTGCTTCCTTGAAGGTGTAATGATGGTTTCTCAAATGTACATTCAGCACTTCTTGAAATACATATCATTTCTAAGATTCAGAACACTGCAGGTGAAATGTGTGGCTCATACAGCACAGCAGCTTGTTAGTAACAGGAAGAGGTATCATACAAATAATAAGCAGCATATTTGTTGGTTGTTGAACTTGCCCGGTGGCTTTAAGACAGTTTTTGACCTTGCTGTGCTTCCAGAAAGGAGTGTGGAGCATGATGTGGTGTTGAACCATGGTCTTATGTGTTAATAGTCATGATACATTTGCTGGGTAACACTGTGAGAGTCACACTCTTCTCCCTCACTGTCTCACACACTTTGTAGATTTGATTGGATGAAACTTTAATGATCTGTCATGGGAAATAGGGTAAACTGTTTTCTTTTTGTCAGCAGGATTTGGATCAGCACAGGAAGACTCAGATTTTCTTGTCAGAGCTTTGCAGGACAACGCACTGTGTCTCCACATGCACCCACATTAGCTGCATGTTCAAAAACTTGGATTATACACAATTTCCCTTTGAAAATGCCTTGTTGTCTTGGCAGTAATCTGAGATTTGCTGAACCATAGGTACTGTACTGCATAAGCTTCAGATGGTAGGAGAAATGGTTTGTTGTAGCTTCATTTTGCGATACCTAGATGCATTGTTCAAACGTTTAGTGGGTCAGGAGGCATTTTATTTTTCAGCAAAAACCTAAACTTCACCAACAACTGGAGTTTCCAGAACATTTTGATTCCATGCTAAATTGTGTCTTTGCAGATTTGAGATTCGCAGTGACAGCAGTCTGCGTCTGACTCAGGTGCGAGCTGAGGATGAGGGCACTTACACCTGTGTGTCAGAGAACAGTGTGGGCAAAGCTGAGTCATCGGGGACCCTGCAGGTGCATGGTAAGTCACTCTGCCTCAGTCACTGCATACACAAAACACATGCAGTGGAAATATTTTAGTTCAATTTTATCTCTGAAATGTTCAGCTTGAATTCAGTTTGCTGTTTAAGCAGCTGAAATTGCAAGTTACCGACAGTGCCATCTGGCTGCACACTCATTACGTATGTGTTAAAGTTTGAGAATGAATAAAATGGTATGCAAAATATGTAAACCACAAGTATTATTCTTAGCAACTCATTTCATTTAATATTAAGTGTGAATAATGTCTAAAATCTAAAACAAGTGACAGCGTGAAGAGAAAGAAGAAAAATGAAAGTGTCATTTTCTTTATAATGCCAACTTTTCCTGCTTTATTTCAAGGAATATCATTAAACAAGTGACAGTTCAATGGAGGCAGCTTTGAACTGGCAGAGTCTTTTGCTTGTGATAAAATTTGGATTCTAACACTGAATACATGAGTAAATTATTTGCACAGATGGACAGTTATGTTATGATGCATCACAAAATGCCCATATCTCACCTACCAGCATGCTGCCTCATTTGTTTTTCTTTTGATGAATTCAGTTTGGATGTTTTTGTGAAAAAAATTCCATTATGTCAATTTTCTCTCAGGACTTTAATGAATATGTTATATGTCATTATCAAATGTCCAAAATGTTTATACAGAAAGATGCAGCTCATAAGAAGTCAGAAAAAATAAATGAAAAGGAAGACAGGCAGACAGACACCGTGGCTGGTTACAACTGCTCATATTGTGCCACTGGTAAAATGCTGTTCACTGAAACTGTAAGAGGGAAAAGTGAAAAATGGATTTTAAGTTCCTTTCAAGCCTTGGCTCATCATCCTCTGGAGAGAAAGCCAAGATCAAAAAGCAGTGAAATTGCATTAGAATAAAGTCAGTCCCTTGAAGAGAGGCAGTCGGAAGAGAAATCTGTCTTTTGTGATGATAAAAGGGAATATTAAAAGTCCTACTCCGTAGCAGCCGATTCTGTGAGCAGGCCCTCCAGTCTGTACAGACACTTCTGACATCTGTCAACACATGTATGCTCACATGCCTTATCCAGCCGCCGGCACTGACAAACAGACACAGGGTATTTGTTGGTGCAAGAGAAAACACATATACACACTCTAGCACACATGTTACTACAAGAATTTTTGTAGCTGAATGGAGAAGTCATTCCCAGCAGCAGCAGCTGTTAGGCAAATGGAAATTGATTGTGGGCTGGTGCATGCATCTGCAGTATTAGGGATAATCGAAATACCACCCACACATACACACAAAGGAAAATGACCATGCACTGTAAAAAACCACAGATCAATCAGAATGCAACCTTTTCTCCCCACCTGTAATCCACATTTATCTTTCCCCTACTACTCACCTGCTCCTTTCTTTTTGGACTGCTTGATTTAAACACGTGGTTATTGTGAATTTACATATACCTGAGAGACTGTGATGCTCCAAAGTTTCATTCTGTCTTGTTCAAATAATTCATAATCATCCATCATCAGCTCATCATCTCATTCTCATTCATCTTTCTTTTCCTCCTTTTGTTTCCACCACTTTTCTGCATCACAACACCACAGTCGGTCCATCCAGTAAGTATTCCATTTCATCCCATCTTTGCATGTATGTTCATGTGTGTGTATGTGTGTCTGATACCTAACATGTGTAAAGGAGATACTGATTTAAAGGTTACCATGTTGGATGCATAACTGCCACTACCATTGCTGCTTTTCTGCCAGTTTGAATAGAGGATAGTTAGTTAGGATGTAAGTAGCTCTGAAAACGTTGGGAGTAGTCCTTAGATTTTCCACAACTACACTCTAGTCTAGGCCGTAAAGTATACCCCTGCAACCCCTGTACTCTAACAGTTATGATAACAATCCAGCCCTTTATTAAAATAAAATTAGATCGACAACATTGACTGCATTTTCATGGCCAATTAAAACTAATATAAACATTTATAAATATTTTCTGATCCATATTTTTCTCTAACATAGGCTGTTGGAGACCTTTGGGCTGACTGACATAAAAGGAATTATAAGGGCACTGAGGATGAGGGACTCAAAGATTGCATGGAAAACGTTGTTTGTCCTTCACACGGTCAAACAGGGAAGCTGTCCACACTGTTTTAGAAAGGCTCCAAGATCAGAAGATGTATAAACCTGTGAGAGCCTCGCTTCACTCAGGTCTTCACACCCATTAACAAACTGCTACAAATTTTGAAACGAGCGAAGACATTTTGATGAGTTACAGTATGCGAGCATCAAAGACTACTGAATGCAGACGTGCGCTTCAAAGACATTTTGATGAGTTACAGTATGCGAACATCAAAGACTACTGAATGCAGACGTCAGTATTGTCAGTACTGTCAGTATTTCACACTGGAATTACACACTGATGCACAGGTTACAAGCATATAAGGTGGTATGAAGGTCTGGGCCTTTATGCTGACAAGAACTTCTGTCAAAATTAGACAAGGAACTATAGATCAGAAGGTGCATTAGCTGATCAATACAAAGGTGATTTATCCACAGATTCTCCAGAACAAATGCTGCCATTTAGATGTGCATTACTGTCAGAGAAATAGCATGGCTTGGTTCCCACTCTGTTCCCTAACCCTAACCCTATGCCTGATGTAGGCAGGGCCATTAAGCTGTGTCTCACTGTAACTATGACCAAGCACCAAACCCCAAATTAATTAAAATTTAACTGAGAAGATGTAGACTGTCATCATCTTTACTGTAACTATGACCAAGCACCAAACCCTAAATTAATTAAAACTTAACTGACAAGATGTAGACTGTCATCATCTTGAGTACTGAAAATAAATGACTTAAGACAGTAGCACCGTATGTGATTTTGCTTCTCGATATATCAAAATGTGCTCATGTATACTCACATGAACACTGGTAAGAAAAGCTCTTTTCCTATTGAGGAGAGTGCAGATAACCTTGAATGTTTCGCACATAAGCTGATGAATTGTGTCACATTGCAAATCCTGGCATTTCACTAGATCTTATTTTTATTACTGTTTGTTGAAAGAAAAATAAAAAGATTGTTTTAAAAACATTGGCCTTAAGAAAAAAGCTCATTGATTATATGAGAAGTGAGTGGATTGAAAGAAAATAGAGACGTCTTGGAGAGGAGCTGTATCCAGTCTGATCGTGGGTGTGTAATGTCAGAGCTGTGGAGTTACAGAACAAGCCCAGCTGATCTGCTGCCTTCTCCCTCTTATCATCAGCTGCACCCAGGCATGTTAGCAACGTTTCATTTATTTTTATGATCAGTATCAGGAGTACAATATCGTTTACAATGTGTGACTAGTTAACACGAGAGAAATTATTTATTGCCAAAGTCGTGCAACAATCTAAAGTGAGTTGCCAGGTGGAGTTTTTACAGTAAAATGATGAGACCCTCTTTGTTACAGTGAGAGAAGAGGAGGAATGGAACAGCTACAGTTTCACTTTAATATTGTCTCAGTGACTTTATTTGTATTAGTAGTGTTGACAGATGGTTTGTTAAATCCCATTTAGTTGTACATTTGAAAGAAAGGTTAGTCCAACTAGCCTGTTAATTTAAATTCACTAACTGGCCTGAACAACATGATGATAATTCTAACATTAAGCTATAAACTGCCGAATGCAAGGTTGGCTGTGGGGGAGCCTTGTGTGTTTGCATTACAGTACTGACTCCTGTCACATTTCAACTCATCAAGGTGGAGCTTCCATTACTACAGTGAAAAGGTTTCTTTTAATACCAGGGATATTTAATTCAGCGCACATTCTTCAATGCATGAGATAGAGTGGAAAGGAAATTATGTGAATAAAACCCTGTAAGGTAAATGAAAAGAACACTAGTACCTGAAGTCCTATACTGATTACCCCACATGCTCTGACAGTTTATTCTTCACTATAGGTAAAACGCTTCTGTACTGTGAAGAGTAATCACTTTACAGTGTTTCCTTCTTAGCAGAGAGCCTCAGCTAACAGAGCAGTTTATTTGTTTGCAAGCTGACAAACTCATCAGGTAACACCAAGCTGCTTTGACATGATATCATTCCCATGTGTATTGATGTACCTCTGGTGGTTAATGAGGAAAGGTGAGAATGAAAAGGCAACACAACACTCTTTTTTTTTTTTTATTGTAAAAAACAGAAACACACCAAAGCCACAAAAATAGACCTTTTACTATATAGAAAGTCACTTTCGGCTTTTCCCATTTAGGGGTCGCCACAGCGAATCGTCACACTGACGACTCACATGTTGACATTTGGCACGTGTTTTACCCTGGATGCCCTTCCTGACGCAACCCTGATTTGAACCCGGGCCACAGCGGCGAGAGCGCTGCGCCTTAACCACTAGCCTACCAGGGACGGCTACACCTTTTACCATATAAGTGAAAATATTAGGGCTGTGTGTTGGCAAGAATCTGTAGATATGGGACATATCAGGATACAGGGGTTACAATTCGATATATTGTGATACTGTAAACAAGGCGATATACAGTGCCTTGCGAAAGTATTCGGCCCCCTTGAACTTTGCGACCTTTTGCCACATTTCAGGCTTCAAACATAAAGATATAAAACTGTAATTTATTGTGAAGAATCAACAACAAGTGGGACACAATCATGAAGTGGAACGAAATTTATTGGATAGTTCAAACTTTTTTAACAAATAAA